TGAAAGGGGCTTTTTCAAACTCTATTGACCTAAATTAATAAACTCCATTCCAAACAAGAAGCTCTTAATCTAAAGTTTGATCTAGATCCTTTAAATTATTTTCTTTGTGAGAAGCTTAAAAACATAAATCTTCAAATTGCTAAATGTTCTACAGCTTGGACTTCTTGGATTATTCAAATATTCAGAGCTAAATGACTTTAGAATGGAGAATATGATCATAAGTTCCTTTATTCCAAAATCCTTTCTAGAAATTTTTATAATAGAAATTCTATCTTCTTTGCCTTAGAGGACACTTCTTCACCTTAGAGGACACTTCTTCTAACAGGAATGCATGAATGATATTACAAGGGGCATCGTCCAATATTTCAAAAATCTTATTAACTCTCCTCCCCCTCCATTTACTTATGTTAATACCCTTCCCCCTAGTGAAATCATCCCCCTCACCTCTTGGCGGATCTTACTTCTACTGTGAAAAATGAATATATTTAAAAAGTGATTTTTTCTAGCTCTTCCTCCTTTTCTCCTTGGACTTAAAACTTTAAATTGGACTTTTAAAGAATGCTTGGGTCTTGGTTGGGCCTCTCATTTGTAAGGTATTCAAATCTTTTTTTTATTAAATGGTATCTGCTCAGGGGGGGTCAAAGCTACTGATATTGTTTTAATCCCTAAGAAGCCTCATGTCAACTCTATCTCTGATTTCAGGTCCATCTCATTATGTAACAACTTTTACAATAGTATTAAAGAGTTATTGGCACTAAGGATCAAGCCCATTATGCCTTTCTTACCCTCTACAATTAGGTTGGGTTCATCTAGCATTGTATTTCCATTGATAATGTTATCTTTGCTTATGAAATTCTAGGTCTTTTTAGAAAGAATTCAAAATAGAAACTCGTGTGTGCTAAATTTGATATAAAAAAGGATTTTAATATGTTGTCCAGGGAGTTTCTTTTCTCTAGAAGGAAGCAAAAAGGGCTTCCACCCCTATTCATTGGCTTTGATAAAAAAACTTACATCTTTGATGTGCATTTTTTTATTTTTATTGATGGTTCTTTGGAGATTTTTTTCTTCACACTTTGGGCTTAGGAAGGGTTGTCCATTGAGTCCATACTTGTTTTATATTATTCTGGATGCAATCTCTAATAACATTGATATTTCCTCTTTTGGTTTTGATGGTTTCTCCATTGATGGATTTAATCTCTCTCATTTGCTTTATGTAAATGACATACTAGTTTTTCACAAAGCTTTTATCTCTAATTGCAACACTCTAATGGGCATCCTTAATAGTTTTTCCAACTACTATGGGCTTCATGTGAACCTTGAAAAAAGCTCTCTCATCCTTTCCCCAAATATTTCCCAAGTCACCCCTTTATGTGAGCTCTCAGAATTCATTCCCCAGCCTCCTCCATCACCTATTTAGGCATTCCACTTTCTCCCAAAAGGCCTAAGTTATCTGATTTCTCCCCTCCTTCAGAGAAGATTACTAATCACTTATCTAGTTGAAAGTTAGACTTCTTTTATTTGCAGATAGTTTGCATTTTTTAAAATTTACTATATATATGTATTAGCTTCATGGCTCCATTATATCCAAGTCAACTAGCAAATTTATTGGAAAACTCTACTCTGAATTTCTATTCTTTGGTGACTTCAATTTCAAAAAATTACATCTCATTTCATGGAAAAAACACTTCTAAACCTAAACATTTGGGTGACCTTGGTATTCCTACTCTCTAATCTCGTAGGTTTGCCTTCAATTTTTTTCCCTTTGATCAACATATTTTACAATATTCCTTCCCCTCTCTCAAAGTGATTTGTTGTCAGATATACATCACCTTGGAAAACACCTTCTCAATATTCTTCCCCCATCTAGAAAAGTGTTTCTCCTCTTCTCTTCTTACTAAGGCTAAGTTTTCCTTCACTATTATTGCTGCTAGCCCTATTTCTTTGCTCTAGGAACATTGGTGTAAGGGTATTTCTATCTCTCATATGCAGTTGCAACCCTCTTTCCTTTCTCGATTTTCCACAGATGCTCTTCTTAACTATCTCATTGCTTTTTAGAATTGGGTTCTCTCTCCTTTGGACAGTACTACTCAAGAATTCATTGAATCTATTCCAAATTCTCGATTCCTCTTCTAGGTGCCTGAATTGGGATAATGCTATTGTTGATTCCTTTTTCACTTATATCATGAAATTCTATAAATATGAGTCTTTATGTGGCTGGGAAAAAAATTGTTTGGTAGAAACATCATGCCTCGAGGTTTTCTATGTATTCTTGCATGGCCATTCGTTGGGGTCTTAAAACTGCATATGATTCATCTAAGAGGAACATTTGATTCTACTATATCTGTGATCTTTGTCAATCCCTTCCTTAATGCCCCTTACATCTATTTTTTGAATGCGACTTTACATTCTCCATCATCTCACAACTGTTCTATGTCGTCAAAAACTTCTCTTATGAGATTAAGAATATTCACTTACCATTTTTGCTCGGTTTAACATATTTGGCATGAGCATAATGATCGAAAGTTTGGAGGCTCGATTGGTAGTGTCACTACCATTGTTTTGAAAATAAAAAAGTAATCATTTTGAAAATCTCTAAATGGAAAAATTGGGATACTCTTAAAAAGCCGGTTTAAATTTTACATGTTTTGGATATGGCTCCCTGCTTTGGAAATCATTTGTTAGTCTTGATTCATATGTTTGACATGATTTTTGTAGTTTTGTTCTAGGATTATCAGTTTATGCTTTTGTTGGGTATTGCTAGGTGTTTGGATTTGTTGCTGGTTTCCTGGCCTTTATTTCTACTGGTGGGATTTGCTACTTCTTGCCTCTTGCGTTTTGGCCCGATTTTGTGACTTATGTTATAATGACCCTTTTGCTTTTCATCTCTATTCTTGTGGGATTTTTGATTGCCTTGGACAATGATGATCTTCCCTGAACTCCAAACTACTACTCTTGGATGGTCTTCTCGGCAACCAGGGGAATCCTTTGCATCTCTCGATTTATGACAACTTATCTCAAATTCAATTTAAGTCCAAGCATTGGGGTTTTTATCCATTTACATTCTTCTGATAGGTCTTTCATGTTTTATATTATGATGTAAGATCATTTTTGGGTTCACCCTCTTGATGTGTGATCCAATGCATTGTTATTGAGCATAGACCATTTTTGGTGGCTGCAGCTATAACTTCTTTTAGTTTTCCCTTTTTTTACTGTTTATTTTCATTTTTACACAAACTTCATTTTTTTTTTATTGAATTAGGCTCTGCTTCAAATTTTTCCAAAAGAAGCATGGTAATATGCAGTCAATTAAATGTGTAGAAATTATTTTAGATGAGTATAGTAGTACGGTTTTTATTTTATTTTATTTTATTTTATTTTTGAAGAAATGCAAGATTTGCATTAAGATGAAATAAAAAACGACCTAATACAAACTAGGAAATATAAACTAATTGATCATTGTTCAAGAGAAAAAGGATCCTTATATAGCATTTTTGTTTAAATTAAATTTATAATTTTGAAATGAAACCCACTGATTCCTATTTTGAAACCGTTGAGATGCAGGGGATACCAAAGTTTTAAACAACCCAAGGGTTGGATAGTATACCAGAGTTCCCATCCGATTAAAAAATAAGACCTAGTATCAATCCCATAAGCAAATATAATAAATTTAAAAAACAAAAAAGTCAAAAAGAGAAAGCTATAAAAGAAAATCAAAAGGAAATTACAAATAATCCAAGACAATTGTAAAACACCTAAGAATAGGTATTTCAGATGTCTACTCCAATTTCCCGTTATATAGTCCAAAGCAAGATATTTGAAAATCTCTTTGTTTAGATGCTCCACCCTCAGGTATCTTTCCATTTTGATGTTTGCAATGAGAAAATCGACTAGCATATTACTGAGATGATTTGGAAGAACCTTTCAAGTAGTTCTTCATTCTGAGTGTAGTAATCCTCCTTCTAGTTTGTTCCTTCGCCGGTCCTAGATCATGAAGTTCCTTGAATAATTTTTGTTTAGATCCGGAAGAACCAAGCTCCTTAATAGAACTCTTTTTATTCTTCAATAAGATAGTTTTTTTATTAAATTTTAAACTGAATGTTGAAGAAGGAGAAATGATTTCATAAAAACCATCTTTAGTCCCATTATTAAAACCATCTATATCAAAATTCCTTGCTGTCTTTGTTGGAGTCAATATCGAGATCTGCTCCTCTTGAAATTCTAACTCAGACATGCCTACTTCTGAATTCTCGCCAACAGCCGATTTCGATATAGCAATTTGTTCAGGTAACACCTTAGTTACCGAAGTCTTAGCTCCCTTATCTGCCTCCAGATTATGTGGGATTTCAAAAATTGAAATTTCAACTTCCGAAATTCCAGCCTTTATTTGTTGTTCCGCGGGATTAGCATCCGGCTCAGTTATCAAAATTGAATTATTGTTAACAACTTCATCTCCTACCTTGATTTCAGCATTTTTTAATTGAATTATATAAATTATATTTTTATAATAATAAATTAATAACTCCAATAAAAAATCAAGAATATTTTAAAAATAAATAAACTATTCACAGAAAAAAAAAAGGCCACGCCGCTACTAAAGATCCGTATTTTCTTGACGAAAAAAAAAAATTAACTCAAACCTAGTTCTCGGATATATACCAATAAGACCCGAAATTACGAAAAGAGCCACTATTAATTTAATATATTTGCCAGTTATTTCTGGATGGATGGATGGATTCTCCATCTTCGAATCGTAGGCTTGATTTGGTGGTTCTGTATGAGATATTTTGATTTGGATGAGGCGGATTTTTTTTTTCATTTTTGTGATGAAGCTCGACGCCATCCATCTCCTATCTGCCTCCACCACCCATTGTTCTGGTTAGTATTTTGGTGATATTCACTTCGTCATTTTTGTTTTTTTCTTTGATTGATGATTACTCTTTTGTCGTTATGAACAGATATTTAAACAAATCATTAAGATCGCTGTTTTCTGTGTTTCAACTTTCCTGTGAAAATATTGGAATTTATGCAAAAACTTGGGTTTGCAAAATCATTTGCATCCCGTTCAGATTTGAGCTTCCGTCGGAATTAGGGAGATTCTCCTCTATGGCCAGCAAAACAGAGCAGGGGAACGAGAATTGGCTATCTGCTGTGATGCCGCTTATGAAGCTTTTAACACTTACTGTCATTGGCCTCATACTTGCTCACCCCAAAACCCAACTTGTTCCCCGTGCTACTTTCAAGCTTCTAAGCAAGCTTGTCTTCGCTCTCTTCCTCCCATGTCTCATATTTGTGCAGCTCGGCGAATCCATCACCCTGGAAGAGGCTCTTCGGTGGTGGTTTGTGCCGGTTAATGTGCTCATTAGTACGATGATTGGCTGTGTTCTTGGATATGTCGTGGCAATCATTTTCCGCCCTCCACCTCAGTTCTTTAGGTTGACGGTGATCATGACTGGTTTTGGCAACACGGGAAATCTCCCGATTGCTATTATTGGATCAGTATGCGACAGCCCAAATCATCCCTTTGGCCCTAATTGTAGTCGGACGGGCATTGCCTATGTCTCTTTCGCCCAGTGGGTTGCAGTAATTCTTGTGTATACCTTGGTATACCATATGATGGAGCCCCCAATGGTATATTGTGAAATCGTGGACGAGGAAAATGAGATTGCGGAAGAGCGTGCTATTAGTAATATCAGCAGGCCTCTGCTCCAAGAAGCTGAGTGGCCTGGTATGCAGGAAAAGGAAATAGTGCATTCAAAGACTCCTTTTATTGCAAGGGTCTTTGCTAGCATCTCAGGGTCATCACAAAATACCTTCCCTGATATTCATCTAAACGAAGAGGGAGGTGTACGTGCGCCCAGCAGTCCAAGGTCTATAAGCTGCTTGGCAGAACCGAGGGTTGTTCGGAGGATGAGAATTGTTGCAGAAGAGACTCCTATCCGGCATATTCTTCAGCCCCCAACAATTGCATCTCTGCTGGCAATTATTGTTGGGATGGTTCCTGCATTCAGGGATTTTGCATTTGGGAGTGATGCTCCACTATCATTTTTTACTGACAGTTTGCAGATCTTGGCTGGGGCAGTTGTTCCTTCGGTGATGCTAGTTCTTGGAGGCATACTTGCAGAAGGACCAAATGATTCTTCTCTTGGCATCAGAACTACAGTTGGTATCATTATTGCAAGGCTTTTGATTTTGCCATTTATTGGAATAGGGGTAGTGGCTTTGGCGGATAAGTTACATCTTTTGCTAGAAGAAGGTCAGATGTACAGATTTGTTCTTCTGCTGCAGTATACAATGCCAAGTGCTATCTTGTTGGGAGCAATCGCAAGCTTGAGGGGTTATGCTGTAAAGGAAGCTTCAGCTCTGTTATTCTGGCAGCATATCCTGGCTATGTTATCACTCTCTATTTATATTGTGATCTACTTCAACTTGCTTTCGTATGTATGAGGTTGGAATCTTTCATACTTTTATTGTATGAAAATTCATGTGGAGATTATGTTGTCTTATAACATAGCGTATTTACTAATTTGTGAAATGACGTTGTGTTGAATGAGAACTGTCAGTGATCTTTAACACTGCTATCCAAATAGCCGTGTGCAATGATGTACGTATGTAGTCCTTGTTATTGAAAATCAAGTAGTTGTTGGTTCATCTATGTACATTGATGCATGCTATCCAAATAGAACTTTTAAATTTTGATATCCTATTTTGTTTGCATGGTGTTTGTCCATTTTGTTTCAACTCATGCTGAGGCTTTTTAGAGAGTTCTATATTACTTTGACTTGCTAAACTATTTTCAAAGTTACTAATTATGGAAAAAGAGAATAATAAAAAAGAGTGAAGAGAGCATGGAGAAAAGGAAGAGCCAATGGAATAATAAATTTAAGAGAGAAGAAATGTCTTCATCTTTGATACGTCATCACAAAATTATCTTGATTGGGCACGAATCTCGAGGCAAAATCAGTTCGGAAACTTCAAAAATTAATTTTGGGAGCATATGAACTCCGATTTCAGCGAGCTTATAGTCAAACTTCCTGGACGCAACAATCTTATTACACTTGAAGCATTTAGACTCTAGTTAATTTCTCTACTCACTACCCTTATAATCAAATACGGTTGATAGCCAAAACTTGTTTCTTTAGTATAGATTTTAGAAAACACAAATCATGAACTTTGATGCTTTTCGTTACTTTTGTTTTCAAAAACCACCTTCCTTCTATGATAAAATTGGAAAAAGGAAGAGAAGAGTGGCTATTTGTCAAGCCTGTAAATGTAGATATGGTAAGAGCAGTTATTCATAGGTTCTCATGAAGGTGTCACAGAGAAGTGGCCATGTGTTAGGCATTATGAGGCTAGCAAGTCATAATTTTACCATAAATGAGAAATACCAATATGCTATTTGCATAAAAGTTGTTGGGTGCAAAAAAGATCTTGTTAATATTGATCGATTATTACCTACTTTTGGATCCTACTTGCTTTCTTGGGAGAGCAGAGTAGTGGTTCTAAGATCATCTAAATACCATTTGATTAATGGAGCCTCAGGTAAGCACATGAACCTGATCCAAAAATTTATGACGTGTCTTGAAGAAATTGTATATTCTTTCTTCATAGTATTCCAGTTCACAAGTGTGTGAGTTGTAACAAATAGTTGTTTTGTGTGTATATGTGTTTATATACATAGGTGTCACAACCCATATGGGCCCTACTCCAATGATTGACACAGATCATAACAAAGTGGAGCCCGTAAATCACTTAATTTACTACATCACATTTCAAAAGCTATGATTTAAACACAAAACAATTCCTATGATTTAAACACAAAACAATTTTAAAAGAGATCATAACTTAAAGCATCAGTCATAAGCAAAAGCTATTCAAGATTTCATTTTCCAAATTTTCATCTATTGAACAACAATGGAAAAACAAAACATAAAACTATTAATAGACTACAAACCTCAATCCAAACCTGACATTGATAAAAGTAAATATGAAACATAAATTGAACCTAACACTATTCTGGCTCAACATTATCCTTCCACTTTTTTGTAAGAATAGTCAAAATGCAAATCTGATGAGATATGATGTCTGTAAAAAAAAATCTACAACTCTAATATAGCAATCAAGTGTAAGAAGTAACTTATAAACGTCAGTATCAACTGGCAAATCAAATTATGCATGTAAGAAGAGCATGTAAGCAATTCAAGTTTACAATAATTGTAATAGGGAATATACAGGGTATGTATCACCTACAGTGCAATATGTAAGAAGTTTGTTCGCCTCAATTATGCATTCAATTATATGTCATATAATATCAATAGCATTACTTAAAACCAATTGCATTTGCATACATCAGTAAATCATACAATCCAAATGTTTAATCATAGCTATAAAGTTTTGTTCATTTCATATCCTTTCTTTTTCAGTCTAAAAAAATATCATGTTTAAATGTTTAGGTTTAGATCTACACCGCATTGGCTTCTAAGGTCGTACTACCTCTATAGCCCGTATGCTCCATAACCTGTAGCTTACTTTACTTGATCATTGTCGTTTTCTTTCTTCTTACAACAACCTACTATATGTTACATGTATATATAAATATGTGGACATATGATCTGGCTGTAATGTGTATCTGTATAAAAGCAGGTATAGTTGTGTAGCTTGCATGTCATAATTCACAGTGATAGAATTTCAAAGGGAATCATAATAAAATATGATCTGCATGCACCGCAATATTATGCTGAGGTTGATTAAAAAATGTGCAAAATAGAAATCATATTAAATTAATTTAAAATTCATGCATACACACTATTCATAGGACACAATGACCTAAAACGACGGGCTAGGAAATATTAGAAATGACCTTTCTTTATTAGTTTTAAATGAGAATGTGACTCTTAACAAGATATAATAGAGCAAAAGAATTTACGTAGCCGACCCCATATAGTGGGATAAATACTTGTTGTTGTTGTTGTTATTGTTGTTGTTTTTGTTGTAGACATACTATTAATAATTTTACTCCTCTACTGTATTAACAAAATTACATATATTACCTTTGCAATGAGCTGTCCCCCCAATCCGGACACCTCGCAATCTCTGCATGTGTAAGCCACCTACACCAAGCCAGAACGCTTAATTTGACAAGTTCATACAAATGTCTACCCAAATCTTAGAATTACTGACAATTTTCTCTTTGTTGACCTCTAACTGCCGGCAAACCAGCGACCCCCACAACACAACCCACAATCCCACGATCGTGTAACCACCCACACGCATAACACAAAAATAGAAATCCTCCCAATCTGCACTCTCGCACACACAGAAACAGAAGAGAGAAAAAGTATTTTTGGAAGCTTACCTCAGGCGAATGAACCCCTACTCCAGCCATAAAACCCCGACCTCTTTGAATCTGCACTAACCGCTGCCTCCACCTCTTGCTCCAGTACAACCAGTCGTCTTCTCTAAGCCCGAAGCTAGCCCGAACGACGCTTGCCTTTGTCTCCCACCTAGCCGCCGCTTCCGACCTCCCTGCCAGCCTTCTCCTCCGACCCAAGCTTGAAGTCCATCTGCCCTAACCAAACTAGGCCGATCAACTCGCCGGATCCGCCGCCTCTGGCCGCCGATGCCTGTCTTTATATATATTAAAAAAATAAAAGAAAATGAAATTAAAAAAATAAAAGAAAGGGAAGGAGAGATGGAGAGAAATGTGGGCATTTTCAAACAGGTATTGCGGCATCTAAATATTTGAAGGAATTCTTGGGATTGATACGGTCCCTTGAAGTCCTTAGTCGTCGATCTGATCCAACCGAGGGATCGTGGAACACTAATGGGATTGATTCGCTCTCCCAATCTCATCTCCGTTGATTTGATCTGGCCAAGTCGAGCCAAAAGGATAAATGTCCTCCTCAACCTCCACTCGCGAGGAGGGGGCGCCGAAAGGTTGTCAGATTTTCTGGGGAAATAAAAAATATTTTTTTTTTAAATTAAATTTAAATAAAAAATAGACATGTATTGCAACATATTAAAAACTTAAATGAAGTTCCATGGTTGATACGGTCCCTGAAGTCCTTGGTCGTCGATCTGATTCGGTCGAGGGATCGTAGAACACTAATGGGATTGATTTGCTCTCCCAATCACCTCGCCATTAATTTGATCCGATCGAGTTGAGCCAAAAGGGAAAGTGCCCTCCCCAACCTCCCATCGCGGGGTGGGGGCATCGGAAGGCTGTCGGATTTTTTAAGGGAATAAAAATATTTTTAAAATTAATTCAAATTAAATTAAATTGCTTAAATCAGCAGGTCACACACATTAGAAGACTTGAAGATTTTTTATGGGATCGATTTGCTCTCTCAATACACTCGTCGTTGATTTGATCGGGCCGAGTCAAGCCAAAAGGGCAATTGCCCTCCCCTATCTCCTCTTATAGGGCGGGGACGCCGGGAGGCTACCGAAACATTAAATGACAAAAAAAAAAACCTCTCCAATTAATTTCAAACAAAATATGTTATAATAATAATAATACATTTATATAATTAAATTTTACGTCATTTCAATTAATAAAAAAAGGGGGAATCGTGTACGACTTCATAAATCTAGCATATTTATGATGTTAAAAGTGGTGGAGGAAATGATGTCTAATAAGAAGAATAAAGCTTTCATCGTATTTATCTCAACATGCCTAAGATGTTTAACAACACTTTGGAAAGACTATAGTGATTGAAGTTCACAAATCTACATTATAGTCTTTAATATCAATGAACTATATCTGGGCTAAACTATTTGCAAATGTATATGAAGTATTGGGTGATGAATATAAATCAAATAGACATGAATTTTTTGATATACTAGTTGATATTCTTTTTTAATTTTTTTAAAGGGTGCAACACGAGGACTTCCCAGGAGGTCACCCATCCTAGTACTACTCTCGCCCAAGAATGCTTAACTGCGGAGTTCTGATGGGATCCGGTGCACTAGTACTAGTTGATGTTGGATTAAGTGATCCTACTTTTAACCATTGTTTCAAAAATGATAGATTGCTTGTTGGATCCATTTTGATATAAACATGAAAACACAATGGATGAAAGGCATTTGTTTACTATTTATTTTGTTGAGATTCTTACAGAGTTAACCAAAACACTACAAGTGTTCAATCAAACAAGTTTGCAAGAGACTTTTTATAGCTCTCCTTGTGTTTTCTCTACAGCTTGTACAACAAGACTAGACTATAAACCTTGGGAAAGATTAATGTCCCACCTTGAGACTTGATTATACATGCTTTTATCTATTGTTTTCCCTAACAATTATTGCAATTGTGAAAGGAACAACCCTTATCCTTAAAGAAATTATGAATATACAAGAGATGGACTAATTTCTTCCCTTTAGTTATTGAAAGTTTATACAACACTTTTAACTCCACTTTCATCAGTTGTCAATGCTACAAACATTGTTAGTTCAAAAGAAAGACTCTTGTGTTAATTTAGAAAGTTAAAAGCTATGCGACGATGATTAGAGGCTTGATGATTACTTGCTGATTTAGGTTATATATATATATATATATATATATATACACTATGATTTATTTGATTGTGTGCAAATGTACTAATGTCAGTACTTAACTGTGATCAGTTAAAATATTATAGTCCAAGAAAACATCACAAATTCAAATGCCACCGAATCCGCAACACTTATACGAGCGCATATAAGGTTATATCTATATAATAACTCCAATATATATATTAAAGCATACCCTGCATATGCTCCGACAAATGTGTTAAAGTTACAAACAGAAATGTTCAAGAATGCTGTGCGAGGTCAAATGCTCACTAATATTATAATCTATTTGTAAAACAAAAAATGCCCTACATGTGCTCCAACATACATGTTAAAATTACAAACATAAATGTCTGAGAATATTGTGTAGGGTCAAATGCTCACTAATATAACATTCTATTGTAAAACTAAACATGTCGCGCATGTGATCCGATCGACACAACTGAGTCCCAAATCCAACGGTTCGAGAATATTGCACGGGTCAAATACTCGAGTCTCATCTTCCTCATCGAAAGGACTGAAGTTGATATGACTTGAATTGCAAGATGCCTCACAAATTCCTATGAAAATACAATTGACTTTAACATCACCTTGATGATGGTTGTGTTGATTAAAAATCTCAACTAGAGGGGTCAAATCTCAAATCCAATAAAAGTTTAAATCCTTAAAATGAAATCTATTATTTTAAAAACTTAAAACTAAAATCAATACACCTCCCGCAACTGTTTATGAGCGTGATAAATTTTAAATTAACCTCATCTCACAAAGAGCAAATATTTTTCGGGTTTATCAACTAAATTCATCCTCAAATAGTCTCTTGCCAGCAGAGATGTGACACATGCCTTCTAATTGGATAGTTTTATCAATAAATGACATAATTATATTACGATCACGGCCAAAGCCTGTGTGTTCCCTAACGGCGTCAACCTCCTGACCAATGAATCATAGGGTATATTTGATAGGTATAAAGCCCTCTATCAGGTAAGGTAATCATTCAAATCTATCCCCTAAGACAAACACCAACCTAGGTCTACAAAGTATTCTTGGATGAAGAAACACATGGTTATCGATAAGGTGTCATCTATCGGGTTGGATCTACTACCTCCTCTGACTAAGCATACTAGGGATCATGACAGCCCGGGATGACGGAACCATGGGATCTTGATCAGGGTCATCCCCATCCCCTCCCCCGGGTCATCCCCATCCCCCCCCCACACATTTAAGTTTATGATGATAAATTTTAAATCATAAATTCCAAAATTTAAACCTTAAAATTGTTGCTATTATACGTAGTATTTATAACATATACATGCAACTTCTTTAACAACTAGCCTTAATTGAAAGTTTTCTCTTGTTATCTGGAGGGATAATTAACTATAGGGGCTTGTGCCTATAGGAAACCATAACTCATTTCAAAATGTCCTCACAAATGAGGGTGAAATCTCTAAGTAGTGTCTTATCTAAAACCCAATCAACCTTTTAAAAATTTACATGTAACTTAAATACATTAAAACTCTTTACCTTCATAAACAATAAAAAGAAAAGAAACCTGGCTCAGAGAAGTCGGGGCAGACACGGGGAATTTACCCACATATTTTTGGCAACTTCGCTAGGGATTAGTTTCTCTTTCCATCTTTAGTTATTTATATATAAACTATAACAATAACAAAATTATTAAAATCCTTATAAGTTCCTTAATGTTAGCGTTTAAAAATATGCAATCAAATATAATTTCCTGCGTGTATTTTTATTTTATTTAGTCTATGCACTTTGAAAGTATGGGGTGATGTATCAACTTTTGATTATTAACCATTATCTTTCATTTATACAGAATGAAACTACATAATGCTCCCTTTACCGTTCAATTGGGATGTGGCTTTAACATCCAGTTAGCTAATGTTATCCTCAACACTGAAGTCTCTGAAGCTACAATCTGATTTGGTAGTTTAGAGTTCTTTGCAGCTACTACAATGGCTACTGCGGTACTTATTCATGGCATAACTATTCAAGGCAATTCTATAAGGCCTAATTCTGATGAAAATTATGCACGACATGCCTATTCCGTGTAACAAACACGAGCTGCTAGAAATGGTACTGCTAAAGCATTTTAATAAAATAGGATATCAATATTTGAAAGGCTATCACTGCCTAAGGCCCCAGCCACCAAGAGGATCCTAGCTGGAGGAAGAATACCTATGGTATCTACCAGGGCTACCACTCTGCCAACTAGGTTATCTACACCTGAGAAGAATGATACTGAAGCCTTCTCATCTTGAGGAAGGCACATAAGAAGCAAAGGAGAAAGATGAATGCAAAGCTACGAGCTCAACAACCACTACCAGTGCATCAGTCAACACTCTTAGCCTTGAAATTAGAGTTTAATGTTCCCACCAATAATGGATACGTAAATCTAAAATGGTTTAAAAGAAATAGCTTTACTAATGAGCTAAAATAATCTTTCTGGGAACAACAACAACAAACTCATATTTCGTAGAAGGAGAAGTATGAAACGCTGTCCGCCAGGGTACACAGAGTTTTGAAAGTTGTGAAAGAAAATAGCTTGATGAAGAAGAAATATAGAAGGCCATTTACAAACAAGACCACAATAATCCCACCAAAAGCATTACCATATGTCCCAGTAACTCAAGAAAAATCAAGATCATCTTCATGCGGTGAACATTAGAGCTTGAAACCTGAACTTCATATTTAGGAATCTACTGACAAAAGATCCCGATGGAAGGGTAAAGAAATTAGGAGGCTGAGACCTGTTGAAAGGCGATTTCTATAAAAGAAAGTCAGTATATGCGTGAAATCTAGTGCAGCCTCCTAGAGATCCACCTTTAATAAAAATCATCAACAATGATACCTAAGGAAAATATTCTTATTACTAACATTTGCAATCGTCAACACCTTGAAGAATCTTCCAAGGAATCCTATTGCAAGTCAACTCCATCTCCACAGAAGAAGGTCAATTTTGATCATACTCCTCCAATCAAAGAACTTTTTATGCTACATGTAGAGCCAAAAATATATTGGGAGCATCTCTCTAAGATTTGAGTACAAGAAAATGGTGAAGATGAAGATACTATGAAGGTTGAGGTAGTGTAAATGGTGGGGCATGGTGGTGAGCCACCTCAAACACGTGGGTATCAACGACTCAACAAAGCGGGGCGCATTTCTTCCAAAACAACAATCTCTCAAGAAGATCAAGTTCAGGATGAGTACGTAGAAGAAGAAGTCTCCGCAGGAGATGGACAGAATGATGATAAAAAAGAAGAAGTGCTTGATGAGACATTAGTACAAGCACAAAGGTGTATAAAACTCCAGATGAAGGAGAAATATAAGGAGACATCGGAACTAAATAGCAAGATGTCAGAAATAATGGTGCAGATGATTGCAATGATGCATTTAATACAAAAGAACATCATTATTACTCCTGCACTTGCTCAGCCAATTGATCAACAGACAACAAATCAGCCAATTTACAATCAAATATCGAGTAGTATTCCTATGAATCTACCAACCAAC